CCAAATCGTTTCTGTGGAGGAATGTTCAAGCTTAACACAATATTTGATACAGATTCATTGCTCTACTCGCTCAGTCATTTTGAATGCGATTGCCACACAGTACACGGGCTCACTCTATGGCATCTAGTGCCCCACTGACTAGTACAGTGGAGTCGTCGTCGTTCACGCATGAGCATCCCAGTCCACTCTTCCTTGGCTGCCAGGTTACATTGATGTCACGCAAACCATTCTTGTTATTTTAACAATGGCTAGATACTTTCTGGGCAGGGCCTCGTATAAAAAGCTATACATCTTAGTTTGTTCAGGCCCCTATAACAAAATGCCATAAACTAGGTTGCTTAAAACCAACAGAAATTTATTTCTTACGGTTCAGTTCCATGATCAAGGTGCCAACAGATTTGTTGTGTGATGAGAGCCCACTCCCTGGTTCATACATGGAATCTACTCGCGGTGCCCTCACATGGTGGAAGGGGCTAGCTAGCTATCTGGGTTATCTTTTATAACTAATCCCACGATCTAATCATCTCACGACAGCCTCACATCCTAATACCATCACCTTGAGAATTAGGATTTCAATTATGAATTCGGGGAGAACATAAGCATTCAGTCTGTTCCAGTGTATGTATTTAATGTATACATCTCAATGAGTTTTGGAATAAATATCCACCCTGAAAAAGCATCACTATCATCAAGGTCATAAACATATCCATCACTTCCCAAAGATTCTTGTTACCACCTTTATTATCATTATTACTGGTATTTTCTTGGTAAGAATACTTAATATGAGATGTACACTTTTGGCAATTTTAAGTATTCAATACAGTATTGTCACCTGTAGGCACTATGCTGGGTAGTAAAGCTGCAGAATTTATTTGTCTTGCATAACTGAAACTTTGTACTCTTTAACCATCAACTACTGATAGTCCTCTCTCCCCAGCTCCTGGCAACCATATTCTACAATACTGTCTGCTTCTATAAGTTTGACTATTTTAAATTCTACATGTGATATCATAGATTATGTGTCTTTTTATGTCTGGCGTACTTCACTTAACATAACGCCTTCCAGGTCCCTACATGTTATCATAAATAGCATAATCTTATTCTTTTTTCTGCTGAATAATATACCATTGTGTGTATATATCACTATTTCTCTATCCATTTGTGTGTTGATGGACATTTATAGATTATTTCTGTATCTTGACTATTGTGAATAACGCTGTGAACATGTGAATACAGATATATCTTCAAGATCCTGATTTTAATTCCTTTGAATATATAACCGGAAGTGGGGTTGTGGATCATGTTGTAATTGTATATTTCATTTTTGAGGAACCTCCATACTATTCTACCAAGTAAATCTACCAATTTATGTTCCTACCAACAGAATACAAGGGTTCATTTTTCTCTACATGCTCGCCAACACTAGATTTATTTTTTTAATAATGAGCATCCTAAGAGGTGTCAGGTGTTATATCATTGTATTTTTGATTTGCATTACCCTGATGAATAGTGACGTTTTATATACCTGTTGTCTATTTGTATGTCTTCTTTGGAAAAAATGTCTTATTCAAATCTTTGCTCATTTTTAATTGGTTTTGTTGTTGCCGTTGCTATTCAGTTGTAAAAGTTTTTTATACATTTTGAATATTAACCTCATATAGATATAAGGTTTGCATATACATTCTCATATTCCATAAGTTTGCCATTTTTATTTTGCTGATTGTCTCCTCCTTGGCTGTGCAAAAGTTTTGTTACTTTGATGTTATCCGACTTATTTTTGCTTTTGTTGCCTCTGCTTTTGATGTCATATCTACAAAATCATTGCTAAGAGCAATGTCTATGAGTTTATTCCCTATGTTTTCTTTTAGTTGTACTGTTTCAGGTTTTATGTTTAAGTCTTTAAGCCATTCTCAGTTAATTTCTGTGTAGTGTAAGATAAGAGTCCACTTTCATTCTATTACAAGTAGATACCTAGTTTCCCAAGACCATTTATTGAAGAGATTGTCATTTCTCCATTGTGTATACTTGGTGGCCTTTTCAAAAATTAGTTGATCATATATGCATGGGTTTATATCTGGACTCTTCTGTTGGTCTGTTTGTTTTTATGTCAACACCATACTGTTTTGAATATTATAGCTTTGAAATATAGTTTGAAATCAGAAAGTGTAAGGCAGGGATCCTCAAACTTTTTAAACAGGGGGCCAGTTCACTGTCCCTCAGACCGTTGGAGAGTGCACACTGTGGGCCTAGGATGAGTCAGCTGCTAAGCAGGACAGGCAACTGCGGCAAAAACACCTGGCCGGCCGATTAAATGTCCTAGGCAGATGGTATGTGGCCCATGGGCCGTAGTTTGAGGACACCTGGTGTAAGGCCTCTAGCTTTGTTCTTTTTTTTAATTTTTCATTTCAGCATATTATGGGGGTACAAATGTTTAGGTTACATATATTGCCTTTGCCACACCCAAGTCAGAGCTACAAGCGTGTCCATCCCCCAGACAGTGCACACCACACCCATTAGGTGTGTATATACCCATCCCCTCCTCACTCTCCCACCTGCCCAACACCTGATGAATGTTATTACTATATGTGCACTTAAGTGTTGATCAGTTAATACCAATTTGATGGCGAATACATGTAATGCTTGTTTTTTCATTTTTGTAATACTTCACTTAGGAGAATGGGCTACAGCTCTATTAATGATAATATAAGAGGTGCTAGATCACCATTGTTTTTTGTGGCTGAGTAGTACTCCATGGTACACATATATGACATTTTATTAATCCACTCATGTATTTATGGGCACTTGGGTTGTTTCCAAATCTTTGCAATTGTGAATTGTGCTACTATAAACATTCCATTGCAGATATTTTTTTTTTTATAGAATATCTTTCGTTCTTTTGGGTAGATGCCCAGTAATGGGATTGCTAGATCAAATGGTAGATCTACTTGTATCTCTTTGAGATATTTCCATAATGTTCACAGAGGTTTACTAGCTGACAGTCCCACCAGCAGTGTATAAGTGTTCCTGTCTCTCCATATCCATACCAACATTTATTGTTTGGGGATTTTTTTGATAAAAGCCATTCTCACTGGAGTTAAGTGATATGATATCTCACTGTGGTTTTGATTTGCATTTCCCTAATGATTAAAGATGTTGAGCATTTTTTCATATGTTTGTTGGCCATTAACCTGTCTTTTGAAAAGTTTCTGTTCATGTCCTTTGCCTACTTTTTAATGGGGTTGTTTGATTTTTTCTTGCTGATTCTCCTGAGTTCTATAGAGATTCTAGTTATCAGCCCTTCATCAGATGTGTAGTATGTGAATATTTTCTCCCATTCTGTAGGTTGTCTGTTTGCTCTTGTAATAGTTTCCTTAGCTGTGTAGAAGCTTTTTAATTTGGTCAGGTCCCATTTATTTTTGTTGTTGTTGTTGTTGTGATTGCTTTTAGGGTCTTCTTCATAAATTCTTTCCCTAGGCTGATGTCTATAAGAGCTTTTCCAACATTTTCTTCTAGAATTTTTATGGTTTCATGCCTTAGGTTTAAGTCTGTTATCCATCATGAGTTGATTTTTGTGAGAGGTGAGGTACAGATCCTATTTCAGTCTTCTACATGTGGCTATCCAGTTTTCCCAGCACCATTTATTAAATAAGGATTCTTTTCCCCATTGTATGTTTTTGTCTGCTTTGTCAAAGATCAGGAGAGTATATGAGGATGGCTTTATATCTGGGTTCTCATTGTTTCATTGGTCTATGTCTCTGTTCTTGTACCATTACAATGCTGTTTCAGTTACCATGGCCTTGTAGTATAGCTTCAAGTCTGGTAAATTGTTGCCTCCTGATTTATTTCCAAATGTAATCTTGTCAAAACTTGCTTTTGGGCCGGGCGCGGTGGCTCACGCCTGTAATCCTAGCACTTTGGGAGGCCGAGGCGGGCGGATTGCTCAAGGTCAGGAGTTCGAAACCAGCCTGAGCGAGACCCCGTCTCTACCAAAAATAGAAAGAAATTAATTGACCAACTAAAAAAATATATACAAAAAATTGGCCGGGCATGGTGGCGCATGCCTGTAGTCCCAGCTACTCGGGAGGCTGAGGCAGGAGGATCGATTGAGCCCAGGAGATTGAGGTTGCTGTGAGCGAGGCTGACGCCATGGCACTCACTCTAGCCTGGGCAACAAAGTGAGACTCTGTCTCAAAAAAAAAAAAAAAACTTGCTTTTGCTATACAGCATCTTCTCTAGTTCCATAGAAAGCATAGAATTATTTTTTCTAGGTCTTCAAAAAATTATGTTGGTATTTTGATAGGGATTGCTTGAATCTGTTGATCACTTTGGGTAGCATAGACATTTTAACAATGTTGATTCTGCCAATCAATGAGCATGGTATGGTTTTTCATCTGTTTACATCCTACTGGCTTTTTAAACATGTTCTTTTCAGTGTAAATTCTGATATGCATTGGCTTGCTTTATGCAGCATATAGACTTTGAACTGACTGCTATATGTCAGGTGTTGTGCTAGGAGCTGTGGTAGGAAACTTTCTATGAGAAATCGTATTAGTTTGGCATTTCGTGGTTATTTAAAATAATCCTGTGTACATGAAAACCTAGATTAGATCCATAAGTAGAAAACCATGATCCATGAAAACCTAGATTAGATCCATAAGTGACTACTATTTCAAGTTAGAAGTATTGGTAAGATTTTCACAATAGTCCAGTGAATGGCCTCACAATATAGAGCAATTCATACATATTTCATCTTGGAAAGCATACATAGAAATCTGATTGATAGATAAATAATCTTATTGTAACTGTGTAATAATCACCCAAAATCTTACTCCTCTTTTGACAGTTTCTGTCAATTACGTTACCTTTTTTTCTGATTTCTAGTAGAAAAACAAGAGGAGAAAGTAATGGGATTTTACAAGTAAGCAGAAAAATATAGATACACATAGTTTACAAAAGCTCTTCAGTTCATCTTGTAACAAAGTCTTGGTCCTTTTTCTTAGACAAGAAGATCAATTCAGAAGTTATTAGAATGGGAAAATAACAGATTATATCACAAGGTAAGAAATTATAAACAAATAACTGCTACGTTCATATGTTTATATTATTAAATTGAAAAAATAAGCACTAAATGTGACTTTTTAGGCCACAAAGGAATGGATTAGAGAACTAGTATTCAATTTTTAATATCTATTTCTGTGACATATTTTTAAGTGTTATGTTTTGTATCATATACTCACTCCTGGATTTTCGGTGATTTATTCAAATTATACATTTGTGATTCGTTTAAATTGATATAAAAATTCTTAACCAAACTGTACTTTCTTAGCTTGCTTTGCACTGGAAGTTGACTAAAAGGAAATGCGAAACTAGCAACATGATGGAGTATGTAAGTATGAAGTTGTTTTCAATTACATGTTTGGGACTAACCCTAAATGTAACATTTTACTGCTTATCATTTATCAGGTATTCTTTGTGCCTTTTTTTCTCCTCAGCCTGAACTTTTGTCAGTTGGAACCTCTTTAGTTTTGTAGCCAACTACAATATTTTGAAAGCTAGCAATTATTTGGATCTTAGAAAACTTTCAGCTAGCATATGTAAATGAAAACATTGTACAACCTTAGTCTTCTTTTAACGTAGGTATAAACCATAGCATGTGGTGGGGACAGCTGCTATTGAACAAAATATTTCTAAATACAATCTTGTCAAAACTTGCATAAAATATGAATTGACTTCTGTATTCCAAATTCATATTTCTGGCCTTTTTGGTTGACATTTAACTTTTAGTGATAAAACTATGTGTTTGAATATTTTTTTTACTGAAAGCTATTAAAATCATAGTCAAAAACATAATCCACATATAGCCCTTATGATCAATTTAGCATCATTAACATCCAAAAGAATATTAAATTTATCCAAGCTTCAAGTTGTTGACATGTGGTACATATTTAACAGTAAACATTCCATTTGCATTTCATAAATAAGCATTATTATGATATTTATCTCCACTTTGCATAGTTTTGGGGAAAATGTACAAATGACCACAAATCTAAAATCTGTAGATAAAACATTCAAAAACATCTTAGGTTTTTATTACATTTCCAAACATTTCTGTAATTAAAATGTTTTAATGAATGTATTTGGATACTTTGTTATTTTTCACAAACAACTTGTAAAAGATAGTAATCTTCAACTAATAGCAGCTCTAATTAAAAAAATATATAGATACAATGTAAGAGTATTTTTTAAATCTGTATAGCATAGTTGTAATTTCTTCAACTTTGGGGGGAGTAGGAGAAGGGTTTGTTTCTCTGAACCTAAACAAATAGTTATTGTAAATTAGGTAATAAAAACTATTAGCTACAGTAAGTAGTTTTGTTTGCTAACTTAATTTTTAAATAGCTGACCTAACAACAACTTGTGGTTTAAGTTCTTTACTCTGTTTTGTGCATTTCACTTTTTATAGTGCAGGATCAAAATATAGTCCTACGAAAATGATTACAGACTTCCTGGGCTATGTTATAATAAATGAAAAATATCTTGTCAATATATTCTTATTTTTATTTTACAGGTAATACTAATAGAATTCTTACCAAAATATCCCATATTCCGACCTGACTGAAGAGTTCTATCCAGTCACTTCTGTGTTATCTGTCATTTCCTACCCTTAGTGCCTTGTAGATGATTTTGGAATGAAGATGGTCTCCTTTGCTGTGTTCAATTTACTGTTTATAATGGTAGAATATTCTCCTTGCTCTTTTATTTGTGTTGGTTTATGAAGAAAATTTGCACATCCTTTTTGTTGTTAAATGAGGCTTGTGTTTTGCACTCTCAAATTTTAAATACACACACACACACGTGTGCATATACATATATAGATAGTTGCCATTAAAGATAAAACATCAGTGCTGGTGTTTATAAAACAAAAACTTGTTCTGAGCATGCTGCCTTATAATTTTCATACGCACTGTTTCTAAATATGCATCATTTTTCTAGGCTACTTGATGCTCTGTAATCCCTTACTGGACACACTTAACTAGCTTTTGGTAGCTTTTAGAAATGGTTTTACTCTGCTTTAAAGGACATGCAATTAATAGCACTGGTTTTGTCCTGCACTTTGCTAAATTATCACTTATGTTAGTGGATAAAATATTTAACTCCTAAAGACTTGTAAATAGTGTCTCTTTGCATAATGTAAAATGTGGTATGCCATGGTTTACGGAATGTAATATTCCTTTTACTGTATTGCCAACAATTCTGCATAGATTTGAATATGAATGAATTTTGCAAGTATCCTTTTGAATGTAGAGACTGTTAACATGCTGTTGTATGGCAAAGCCATAATAAGTATGTTAAGAATTTCAGGTGTAGGGCAGGGTTGCCCTTTGTAACAAGTGGATTAACATTGAAATCATTATCTCAGATATTCTGCATTGCGCCTGAAACTAGGAACCTTATTATTTCCATTTCATTTAATTCTCCACTCCTACTGCTAAAGGAATTTATTTGACATCTGACACATTTCACAGTCTCACCATTCCTCATTTATTTCCCTTCAGTTAGCCTTTCCCTCATTTGAAAATACTCACAATTATGACCTTAAAGTATTTTGAAATTTCAGACATCTTGGGAGGTATCCATGAAAGCTTTCTAACCGCTTTCTGGAGTTTTGATATTCTACTTTGGGAAAGAGGGAGAACTAATTGAGAAGTTGTACCTAAAGAATATATAGTAGCTGATTCATAATTGATAAAATATTCTCAATCCTCTTCTTAAGGATCTTTTAAAAACATTTGGACATTGTTAATGAGAAAAGACCAAGTGTTTAGACTAAAGTATTTTAGTTCATAAATCCACCACACAGATAGCCATGTCATTGGTGCCTATTTCTGTTTCTCTTCACAACTAAGATGAGTGGAAAAGCACTACACTCTCGAAGTCTACTAGAATTTGAAATTTTAGTATAATAAAAGCTTTATATCACATTAATTCAACTGCAAACGTATGCCTCTGTAGGCATTATTTGTCATTCATAGTGCTAAAAATAAATTAAAAGTGGGACTGAATATTTTATTTGTCATCTTACTCTAAATTGCTTTTAGTAAACTTTTTAGGCAAGCACTCATCCCAGTAAAGAGAACAATCATTTCTTCATACAAGGTCGAGCCTTTTTATACCACTTTTAAAATTTATGCCTAATTTGAAACCCACAATCCAGTTAATAAAAAGAGGGGAAGAGGAGATGTTATTTGATATGTGATTGTAATTGTTTGCACACTTTCCCCCCTCCCTCTAAAGAGCCCCATTACCTCTATGTCCCTCAGCCCCCCCAAATCTGTAACTTTTAATGTATTGTATATGCCTACAAATACCATGTGTCTGCCTGCTGTAAAACTGAAGGTGTATTTTTATAGACAAGGTGGAAACCTCTGAAAATGCATACCAAATGTCTTGTTTTATAGCTAAGGTCAGGGAAAAATTGTATCTGTGGTTTATATTCCAGCTAATGTCATTGAATTTATGCTTCAAACTGTGACATTTTAATACCAAAATTGATTTCCAGCATAATACAAAATGTCTAATTATTATTGATAGAATAATTGCTTTCAAGTGTCAACCCTTAAAAATCTTTTTTTCTGTAACCTTTGAATTTGAACAGATGGTGGTCAGAGTAGCTTTTTCTGCCATGTATAAATCATACTTGGTTTTGCTCAAAGAATAATAGGAAGAGGTAAATTGTTTCCATGAAACAAATACTGAGATGGGAATACAGTGTATCTGGAGGTGAAAGAGTATAATTCAAGTCATAGTAGTATATGTCATAAAAACCATTTGCCAGTATGTGTAAACTTACTTTTAAAGCCTAGTCTAATCACTCTTAAATTTATCATTTTGTTGTTTATTATGCTGGTTGACTCATCGTAGTTTCTTGAACTACCCAGAAAATACCCAATTTTTTTTTTCTCTCTCTTATGTGACTGTATTTTCAAACTGTTTTTCCTTACAGGAGGCTGATTCACAATTGGGTATTTTGGAGTGTTTTAGGAGAGTTGTTTTCAATGAAATTGGCTACAGTGAATGCTGAAATGACAGGGCACACTGTAGTGATTAATTCCTTCCCTTTCAAGCCTTTTTTCTTTTATTCTTAGGATAAAACATACTTGTGTTTTTCCATTGGGTTAGTATTTTTTTGAAAGTTGTTTTTAGATTGAAGAAAGTATTTTTGAGTTTCTTTATTACATTATATTCCTTTATGAAACCTGTCATGGTAGTTTCTAGAGAAAAATAACACGTATTTGCCAAAATATATAAGTCTCACAATGCTTAGGGTACAAGTTAAAACTGTTTCTTTAAATTAATGTTCCAGTACTTCTCATTTGGCCTAAGATTCTTGCTTAATAAATTGGTCCAACTGGTAATTTTTAAGCTTGTCCAAAAGACCAGTAGCATGTGTATTATTAATGACAAATATGGGCAAGTATCATTTATAGAGTTATTAACTCCATCCCAAATATATCTCTATACTTTGTTCTCTCCTAACCCCTTTGTTAATTTAGAAAAGAGACCATTATAGTCAAACATTAGAAGAAGATGGAGAAGTGCCTTTTCTTTTTTGAACAAAGATAGCATATTATGCTGAAGGAAGCAGAATAAACGAATTGGGCAATCATTAAATGAGGAATCATCCTTTTCAACTAGGTAAAAAAAAAATATTTTACTAATATTTTCCGGCCGGGCGCGGTGGCTCACGCCTGTAATCCTAGCACTCTGGGAGGCCGAGGCGGGCGGATTGCTCAAGGTCAGGAGTTCGAAACCAGCCTGAGCAAGAGCGAGACCCTGTCTCTACTATAAATAGAAACAAATTAATTGGCCAACTAATATATATAGAAAAAATTAGCCAGGCATGGTGGCGCATGCCTGTAGTCCCAGCTACTCGGGAGGCTGAGGCAGGAGGATCGCTTGAGCCCAGGAGTTGGAGGTTGCTGTGAGCTAGGCTGACGCCATGGCACTCACTCTAGCCTGGGCAACAAAGCGAGACTGTCTCAAAAAATATATATATATATATATTATTTTCCTTTTATTATACAGACCACTTTCCTTGTTTTCTCCTAATCATGTGGTATATTGATGACAAAATATTACAAAACAGGACTATCAGTCACTTAAAATTAATATAATTCTGATGCTAGTAAACATGTAATTTAACGTGGTTCTGGAAGAACAGTAGTCTTTGATTGAAGCCCTACCAAAACCCACTTAAGTATTTAATGCACGTGATATTCATATTATGATGTGTAAACACTGAGCAGTTAATCACACTGTGTTAATATTTATCACTTTGCCATTTTTAATGAAACTTGTTCTTGTTTTTTGATAAGTTGAGTAAAGTTTAATAACATTTGTAAGCCTTTGAACAAATAGTGGTTTCTTTCGAAATGTATGAGAGCTTTACAAAATAATTAGCATTTTTATTTTGTTTACAAATAAGCTGCCACTTAAAAAAAATCAAACCTTACTACTTGAATATAAAGCCCACAACAATATTTCATTAGAATTTACTATATTGACCTAAGAGGATATAGAAATTATATTCACCTGATTAACTGGAGCACTTTCACATAGTGAAAATATTTTTTGCTAATTTGATTATAAGTGTTCAGATTCACTGAAATTATGTCCTCTTATGCCTATAAAAGTCTGCTTTTTAGAAAAATCTGTTTTGCAACAATTCTCAAATTATTCAGATTCCTTTAAATGGTGAATTGTTGGGAAATTTTCCACAGAAAAGGAATAGGTTTTATTAATACCTACTCATATAATATGTGGACTAAAACAATTGAAAAGTATGTATATATAAATGACCTTATCTTGCCCCACATTTCCCTTCCTGATTCTGAGCCAGGCTTTTTATTTTGATGATGGCAACCTGAGAATATGTTCTACTTTCTGTGGATTTTGTCAAAGTCATACTATATGCGGAAATGATCTAATATTGTGGGTCCCAGGCAGGTCATCTAAATTGCATGTCAGTATCTTCATCTATAAAATTATAGAGTTGAAACTAGGGCTGGATAGAAAATTAGAGATCACATAGCATTCTGTGATTCTAGGTATCCTTAGGAAAGTTTTACTCTACAGAATCCCAGAATGATTATCCTCAGATCTACTACGCTCGGTGGAAACTCCTACAGTGCCTTGCACATAGCAAAAGTTCAGTTTGCTGACTGGCTGCTAGCTGATGCGTGTTAATACCACACAGACTCAGAGGACCTGATACCTGATCGACCTTAGTCCCTCCATGCTAAGAGTGAATGTAGTTTCCCTGGGAACTGAGGACTGCAGTCTGTGTGCTTTGCCTATGTGGAATCTGACTATACAGTTGGCATTCAGGCAAGAGTTATAGTTGTGACAATAATGGAAATATGGGAGAACCCACTTTGACATTTATGCGAAGAGTTTCATATCCTATCCAACATCTGCTTTAGCGTCTGATCAAGTTCCATACCTTCAGAAAGACCTGTTGGAACAAATTGATAAAATTAGGTGGAAAGGAAAGTGGTATGGAATTCAAACCCAAGCCACTTCTGGTTCAATTCTTAGTTCTGCTGCTTAATTCCTCTGTACCTCATGTCCTCATTGTTGAAGTGGGGACAATAATCTGGACCTACCTCACAGGGGAATTGAGGATTTTTTTTTTTTTCAAATAGTAGTGTGCTTTGAAGATGACTGAAAGATATACTGGATATCGTAATTATATGATTTCTAAATAGAGTTCTTTAAATCCATGTTACGTTTTCTTTCTCAGATCCTACAGAATGATTGTTGCAGTTGATCTGTTTTTTTCAGTAGTAAATTTTAATATTAATCCCCTATGTGTTAAACATGGGTATGTGTGTTATGCTATTACTTTAGGGAGGAAAAGCAGGTGGGTGTAAACTAGTGGTTCCCAACTTGGGGCAAATGAAGATAGTGGGGGGAGGGGGTATCCTTGAACCTTTTTCAATATTTCAAAAAGTATACTAGAAATCATATATTTATCCATAATGCTGTTGCACAAGCCAACTAAGACATGTATTTTGCCTGTATTTCCATGCGTTTTGCCTGTATTCTTTCAATTCTCTCTGTTAACCCTGCTTATCAGCACTGATCAGAAGTTGTGAATGG